AGGCAGACACAAGGCCTTTATTTTGAATCGTGAAGGGTCGATAAATGCGACATCCCGCAAATCACGATAGTATAGTGGGGTACAATAGTGGGATTTGATAGTGCGGTACGATATGTACATATCTAGTGGCAAGCCTAGATAAACGCGCTCCTAGTCTCGAGTAGATTAAAGGCTTGGAAAAGCTGTTTCAAACAGCCACGACAAAATAGGAAAAAGAGACGTCCAAGAAAAGTGTTGAGATTTATCGAGGTCACACGTTGTTGCCAAGTTTGGAGTATAAATTCTTCTATTCCAAAAATGGCTGAATTTGTATGGTAATAATTGTGTTATTTTACATACTTCTTCTTTCCTTAACCATATCTCAGAATATAACTCATCATCGAAAATGTGGCCGCTCAATTGGTTCTCTCTGTTTGTCATCATCACTCTTAAGAATTGTGAGTATATGTTTTTTTTAATGTTCCCCCTTAACGTTACATTTATCATATGTTGCTGTTCCTATTTTAAACCAAAACAAATTATTTTGCTGACATGCGTTTGTATGCAAATTGCCTTATTCCATTGTGCTGTAAATTACCCCTCTAAATAACGTCTTTCTCTACTGCTACGGTTTTCAGTAACCTATAATATACACTGTTGGTCATAAAGGTGGAATAATTATTTCCACATAATTTATGGAATCATTTTGTCAATGATTTATTCCTAATAGATCTAAATAATAGTAAGCATTCTCAGATTGTATCGAATAATAATTTGCTGGTGTTTGTTTTGCGTGACTGCTAAAGCATGTGTGTGATACCATGCTAACTAGGGGACCTACGTCATTAAGTCATAACTGACAGTAAAGAGGATTAATGCCTCACAAATTAAAAGGGCACTAATATAGCTGATCGACACGCGGTTTTGATCATGGGGCCTCACAATAACGAGGCCATTGCTTAGCCACTGAATCAAGACTGTACACAGCGGGGACTACACTCTAAGAAAAAAGGGTGCAAAAAGGGTGCAAAATAAGAGTTTGCACCCTTTACATAAAAATGAACCCTATTAAAGGAAAAGAGGTTAAAAAAAGGGTGCAACATAAGATTTTGCACCCTTCCCACAAAAATGAACCCTAACAACCCAAAAAGGTGCAAAAAAAAAGTTTGCATATTGCATGCATATTCATGATTACTTTCCACGTGTTAACATAAAAATACATTTATCATATGATTTGTTAAGCAAATTATGACAATGCACATCAATTTTGTGATTTGTATTTTCCTTTTCGGCAATCATTAACCAATAGATTATTTTGTCTGATCATGTTACAATTACATTCACGTTTTAGCAATATATATATATATATATATATATTGATTATATGATTACTAACCAAGAAACATCATGCATGTTTTATATGTATATGTGTACGAGCAAATGTCATGAGTTTTCCTCGATGATGGGTGCAGGATTGCACCTTTTAAAGGGTGCAGGATTGAACCCCTTTAATAAGGTGCTGCTATTGCATCGGTTTGCACCCCTAAAGGATCAGGATTGAACCATTAAGGGTACTAACATGTTTCCTAAAAGGTGCATTCTGGCACCCTCCTAAAGGGTGCAGGATTCAACCCCTAAAGGTGCTGCTATTGTTGCATCGGTTTGCACCCCTAAAGGTGCAGGATTGAACCATAAAGGGTACTAACATTTCCCACAAAAGGTTCAATCTGGCACCCTTTTGAAGGGTGCAGGATTGCACCTTTAAAAAGGGTGCAGGATTTAACCCCTAAAGGTGCTGCTATTGTTCCATCGGTTTAAACCCCTAAAGGTGCATAGTTGCACCATTTTTTCTTAGTTTGTAGGGTAGGGGGCATTTCCCACAAATAAAAAATTAAAAAACCTAAGAAAATGCAATAAATTATCAATAATTCATTGAATTTTCCCCCGATTGCAAAAGATAGATGCTTCTCTATAGATAGGCCCGCTATGCATTATGGTTCTAGGCATGGCCACAACGAGGATTTTTTTTCTGTCAGAAATCAGGGCAAAATGCAACGAATTATTGATAATTTATTGCATTTTCGTTTTTTTAAATTCATTTGTGAGATCGGGGGAATACCCGAATAGACAGGTTTGCTTACATATTCAATTGATATGCACAGTTTCTTTAACGATGAAGTTGAGTTCTGGTCATGCGATTGCATTTACAAAGAAACGGTGTGGAATCGACCAGAAAAGGTTGATCATCTAGCATATAAGAATGTGTGTGTATTGCAAGGTTCTGGAATCATCAAAATAATAAGAAATTTGGCCAAGTCTTGGTAAAGTTACAAACACTGTACACAGGAAAATGTATATGGGACTACACGAACACGTGGCGTAAAAATCCTTCCCTGGATTTTTGCGATGTAACATGACATATTTAGAATATGAAGGCATTTGAAGAGCCATGCTTTTCAGGGAACGTGTCTTATATGATGTTTTTCCACTCTTGCATATTAAGAATGATAACGCTCACAAATAAATGTTCACCTCTTCCCAGAACTCAACCTTCTCTTTAACAGCAGAAAATTGTTCTTGGCAACCTTAAGCTTGCCCAAAGGCTTGGCAGACATAGTCATGCCGACTGGATTCCGAGTATTGTAGTTCATTCATTAATAACAGTCTAGTGGAATTACTCATCACTAGGTCCATGAGATAAACATCCATAGATATAAATATTGTAGCGAACGGGGCTATCACTATGAACATGACGGACAAAGAAAGAGAACAAAATATACAGTTCCTCGGGTATTTTATAGAAATGTGTAGAACAGGTGTCACATGCATATTCACCTGTTCTACACATTTTTCCATAATATCAGTGAAGGGATGTTCCTTTGTGTACCCAAGGAACTGTATACGTTGTCCTCTTTCTTTGTCCGTCATATTCATAGTGTATTCTGTCAAATACCCCTGCAGGAGAACCCATGAGAACGCTCGAGAACTCGTGCGTAGAATCAGAAGGTGGCAATAGGGACTTTTAGGTTTGCGTGGACTGATACATGTGACGTCCATTCAAGGCAGTGCATTAAAAGGACGTCGACCGTAGCAATCCACATTGTCTTCGTGCGAATCTAAAAGTCCCTAACACCTGCTCTAGAACGTAACCCCCCCCCCCCCAATGTGTTACAATTAACGCGAACGAGTAGTTTCCATAACTCTTTAGATTGGCTGGTGACCCCGAATTTTTCGTTCATGTTTTGATAGCATACGAACTGGAAATGCGATTTTATGTATCACGTCTACTGTTATAATGCTTTTACGTCATCATAGTGCCTCCTCGAAGGAAAACCATTGAATTCGATTCTATTATGTACTATTTGGCATTGTTGTTATGTCTCGTCTGTCCCAGCCTACTCTGATATCTAACATATTTTTGCTATGATGGAGGTGAGACCTCATTCTAGAAAGATACAATAATTCAATTTTAGATAAGAAGACAGAATCGTGGTCAATATTCAGATTTAATGTGAAGACTGCAAAATCTGCTATTATGGTTTCTACTTGTATGTGCTCTATCCCATTAAGTTTGTGTTATATTTCCTTCATGGATAGCAATTTATGAATGCTATGAAATGGTAGTATGTGGGAATATTCATTTCACATATATAGGACTGGTGTGATGAAACCTTTATCGACTTGCAAATACTTACTCAGGCAAGGTGTAAATACAGTACCTAAGTTGTTTATAAACGTGAACAAGAGCTTTGTTCTACGAGAAGGATTCTGTGACCTCACACTGACAATCTACAAATTACAGTCTGTGGTCAAGCGTGAACATCTTGTGTCCCATGGGTCAAGCAAGTAATAGTAATCTAATCAGACACATACCTACATATAATAACGATGTTACTATTTTACTTTAATAGACCATACATTGATTTTTAATCGGCTGATTGATGATTAAAGTAGAGATTTAATAGCTTTAAATACGTTGTAATACCCTCCCATGCCATAAGTATTGCAACATGAAGAAATTCGTTAAATTTGTAATTAAATTTGTGTAGATGGGAACATTGATAACGCCAAATATCGAGATATTCTGGACGCCCACTTGTTTCCATCCATTGCTAACATCTTTGGCAACGCGCAACACCCGTTCGTCTTCCAGGATGACAACGCACCGGCACACAGGGCAGCCAGGTTTGACCAATGGTATGACGAAACTGGCGTCAACAGGGTGCAGTGGCCGGCGCAATCACCAGATGCTAACCCGATAGAGAATCTGTGGGATGACATCAAGAGAGCCAACACCAAAGACCGACCAACCACGAGGGAAGGTTTGGTCCGCTCTATCTTCAGGGCCTGGGGCAGCATCACCCAAGAAAGATTGCAAGGACTCTACGCGACGATGCCAAGAAGGATGCGCGCCATCATTAGAAGGCGAGGATATCCAACAAAATACTAGAGACTCGTGAATCTTACATGAAAAATGACTATTGATATATCAATAAAATGTGCCTGATAGTATGATAAAAAATGATGCACTACATATTCATTAAAACAGCACTCATTTTCAATTATTTGTCTCCTGTGTAATGTGTGTGTCTATGTTGCAATACTTTTGGCACGGGAGGGGTATATTGTGTACTTTATCTATGCGGAACAATAAATACTTTAGCTTGATAATATAAGTTATTTAAGATGAATAAATCAGTGTTCTGAATTGTATAATAATCAAGGTTTAGACTAACCAGCAGTTTACAAGTTTTAGCAAGATGCTTTATTTCACAATTCCACAGATGAAATGGCAGAAACATGTTATAACATAATATTAGTAATAGATTTATAAGTATTTATACCGATCAACACCATAACTCGGAGCTTAAGTCGAGACTACATAATGTCAATAAATTGTTAAGATTATCTTGGGCAATAATTTTAACTGTGCCCCTCAAAGCTTGTATATATGCCATGCTAGGTCATTGTATGTTCACTTTCTTTTGGTTTTGATTCAATCTTCTCCATACAAAGCACACATGTCATACGCTGCAAACGACCTCTACGTTCGACAAGGCCGTGACGTCACAATCCCATGCATGTTAAACGTCACCCAATCGAACATAGAGTCCCTCGTTTGGCAGAAAATCACCAACAAAATCACCAACTCAACTCAGGGTAGCGACACGCTTTATACCTTCGTCAATGAGACAAGTCGAGTATGGCAGAGCCCTCTACGGGGATACGTTGTCAACTTTACAGATCTGGTGTTGCTAAATGTGTCGCTTTCCCACGATGGCGCTTACAAGTGTCAGATCTTGACTCAAAGTGCACTTCAACCTATTGAAAGCGAAACGTATCTTCATGTAATACGTAAGTAGTAATAACCTTTTGACGATTGGAAAAATGATTGAATTTCAGTACCAACATTTTTCTACATTTTCTCCCTCTATTAATCTTTCTATCTATTATCTTATCTTTTTGTATCTCTTGGAGCGGATAGAGACTACTTTAATAGCAAGATTGAGCATACGGGTAGTTTATATTCTGGCAATACATATCAAACGCATTTTTGCTGCTAGAGCATTGCAGGGTGTATGCCAAGATCCAAATTTACTCTAAATGGTTGACGAATGTATAGACACCTTATGCCTTTCTTTGATTTGTTTTTAAATTAATTAAAAAATTAATGCAAGCTACATTTGGTTCCAATGGTCTCACAATTCATCCTGAGAATACCTGCATTCAGTTGATTACATAAAGAAACAAAAACAGTAAGCTACTATACCATGATTTTTCCGGATCATGTAAAATATTTCCAATATAAGGGGAACACAAAATTTCTGAGTTTATCGGCTATGAATTGAGTTTTTCTTCGAACAAATTATTAGACATTTTGGCCTGCCACACATATTTAATTCCCTCCCTATCTCTCTCTCTCTCTCTCTCTCTGTCTCTCGTTTTGTGTTTGCCTGATGCATCAGTGGGTTGTCTTTCTATTCCATTATATCTGCCCTTCTCTTCCTGTCTCTCTCCCTATTATATTATTGACTACCGCTGTATATGTACCTTCATACCTTGCCTTAGTCCATCCCTTGTTCATCTTTATTCCTAGTACCCCTCCTGGAGATCGAAGTACGCAAGACAGGCACCGTCATAAACAACGGCGAAATCATCGAACTTCTCCATGGCGAGGAAACTGACGTAGAGTGCGCTGTTGTTGGCAATGTGTCCCCTTCTGTAGAGCTACGATGGGTCACATCGGAGGATCACAACCAAACTGACGGGTCTACTGCAATGCATCACGGTCATTCTAGTTCAATCAAACTCCATAGTTCTCGTATAGCGCACGAAGATAGTATCACGTGTCGAGCCGTCCAGTGGATTGCAGGGCGTCCTTACCTGACAATTGATTCAACTTTTATTTTGAAGAGATTGAGTAAGTTAATTGCAAATGATTAGGATATTCTCCTAATGCTTAAGTTTTTATTAGATCAAAGAATAAAATTGAGGTCTTGTCACGCGATTGCATTCTGGCACCCATATTGGTGAACATTTACGCCGCTTGTCAGACCAGCACCCTGGTCAAATTTGCACCCCAATAACCCATTTCGTAAATACTATCTGCGCATAGGCAGATAAAGGTAATTTCTGATAAATTTGTAAAACCCACCGAGTTGTGCTCATGTTATGTAATCATTATTCATGCGTTGCACCTGCGGTACTTTCTATGATACAACAGGCCAATAAAAGCTTTTCACGAAGCTTATACGTGATATTGGCATTGATTAATCTAAAATACACAAATTAAGTGGGACTTCTCCATGTATAAAATATATGTGTTGATTTTGGGTCATTTTACCCATGTGCTAACTACGAAATGGTGTATACACCAGTTTAAGGTTACAACAGTGCGCATGCGCAGACATGGCGCCATTTTAACTTGTTGGTTAACAAACCACTGACCTATAGAGGTCAGTGGTTTACGCATAAATTAAGACGGCGCCCATGCAAATATGATGTGAGCGCACAGTGCGGGCAGTGACGGAACAATATATGCACATCTGAAAACAATGATGACACTGCCTGCGCTGTGCGCTCACATCATATTTGAATGGGCGCTATCTTAATTCACCCGTAAACCATGACCTCTACAGGTCAGTGGTTTGTTTACCCACAAGTTAAAATGGTGCCCATAACCGTAAACTGGTGTATTGCACAATTTTGTCTCAGTGTATAATGGGGTATCAGTGTATAATGGGGTATCAGTGTAAAGCCGAATAATCACTATTTGTAATGGTACTAAACATAACAAAGATTATCCCTAAATTGTCATTTAAATTGTATGTTCTTTCAAATTTGACACTCGGTTCTTCATTATCTCACACAAATTATTTTGTGTAGCGCCCTCTGCAGCAAAAATTAACTATCGTATGTAACTAAGTATACATTTGGTTATATTCCGAAAATGGCCTACTGGATGCATTTCCATTTATCTGGCTTACTTCAAATCATCGGGTCATCGCGTCCACTCAGGTGGTTGCGTTGCCCGGCCTTTTGTGAAAACATGCCCATTTATTCACGAAATGTAATTTTGTGAAATAAACCCACCTTATATACGAATAGTCTGGTCCAATTTATCCGACACTTTGTAAAATGTAGGAACGGTCGTGTAGTGCGACCACCCTACCGGACGCGATGACCTGATGATTCAAAGTAAACCCTTTTTCTCTTGCTCTATTTAAACAAAAACGAACAGATCCTCGTATCGACATTTCGAACTGCCCTCTCGAGTTCTCTTTTTACTCTGAGCCTGGTGACTGCTGCTTTATTTATGTGTCTTCAAATATGGTTAAGGTAAAGTCGATTTCTCTTCATGCGATTCCTTTTTAAAAAAAATATGCCAAGATTTAATATGTATTACATTATAATCGTTGACAATATGCCGCAATTTTTGGGACTCATCAAATATAAAGATGATCACATCTGTTTAATAAAAACTCAGGGAATACCTTGTTCGGATTCGGTAATACGTAGTTGTATTCTTTTCGCCCATCTAAAATAAGTGATTGACAAGGCAAGTTACATTTTTGGAATTCTTAGTGTTCGTGTTTATTGAGACTATTTCTATAAAAAGAAAAGAGCAGAAATGGGTACATGAACCTACACACACACACACACACACACATGAGGCAAAGAGAAGTTTGGTCTGATCTTCTTAGCAATTTCTCGTAACATGTCGAACATGATATTTTTTGTTTATATAGCAACCGTTTTCAGGGGTTGTTTACACCAATAGATTTACTAAACTGACCCCGGAGAACATACAAATTGCTCCCAAATCCTTTGTTTCACCTTTCTCAGAACTCGGTCTTCCGTTTAAACTTAACCTGCGAGGCTAACAACATCGTCAGCCCTGTGAATCTTACGTGGTTCCGTCAGCTTGGCAATCAGTCAAAAGAAATAGAAACGACAGTAGGCTACGCCATATCCGCCGTTATCGATTCCGAATATATGGATAGCAGATGGACATGTGTTTTAAAGGATCATGAGGGCGAAACCTGGAACACGAGTGTATGCCTTAAAGGTAATACAAAGTTTTGGTATGGGGTCATGCATTTGGTTCAAATGAACATATTGGAAGCATATGCGATTTTACAATATTCAATGATAGTTGTAGCGTTTGAAATCGAGTCTAAAGTGATGACATTGTAAATGGTAAACTCTTTATGTTGTACAGCTCCCTCCCAAGACTGATATTACTTCAGCTTTAAAACAATGTTGTTGTTTTTTACTACAATCGACCGATTTGCTACTCCCGTTTGGAAACTATATATCAGAACTGAGATTTCCATGGTCGCAGCTACAATGGAATGGCCTTAGGCGCTATTTGAAATATTTAAAATGTACCGGGAGCACCGGTAAATTCTTTATTATTCAATTTCTCGAAATCAGAAGTGTTTTAGGGGCTAAATTTTCTGGTGCTTAACATATATCCACAGGGTCATCAAAATATCAAAATCTATAACAAATTACAATCCATCCAATTTTCAAAATTTCACAAAAACTCTGCATTACCTTCAAATATACAGGTGAGAAGTATTCGGATTCGTTTTTTTTCTTGTCACTTTAATCGTGTCACCGTATTGTATTTTAAATGTTGCGAACAAAAAAAAAAATCAATGTTTTTTTGTCGGTCTTTTTTTTTGGTGGGAGGGGGGGGGGTGGTTTTTTCCTTTCGTTTACATGTTTAACTTGTTATTCCATTTAATTAACTGACAGAAGATATCATATATAGTGACAGTCTAGCACCCTTCATTGCAATTGTGACATCTTTTGCGACACTTCCAGCCATAATTGTCATTATTGTGATCATCATTCGGAGAAAAAAGGGTGAGCCATAACATTTTAGGTTTATTTATTTTTATGCTTAAGATTTCGATAACAGTTACTTAATTGTGAAGTGTAAGTAAATGTGTTTTTTCATATTTGGGAGATGTTGGCGAAATCATTTCACGCTAACACATTGAGTGACTGATGATTATGATGATGATGATGGATATATCCAGCATATAAGGTGCATATACCCCGAATAGACATGGGGTGATCTTTAGTCGCCTTTAAAAAAAAGAAAATCAAATGAAATCTCACTATCTACAAGAGAGAGTGGAACCCTAGTAGGATAATGCAAGTCTTCGAGAAACTGCCATTTGCACCCCGCACTGTAACAACTGTGGTAGGGACACTCTCGAATGAGAGTTGTCATGATCTAGTGGACATGTCGCAGGATTGTGGATCGCATGATTCAAGGTTAAAGTCCCGTGGCAGCACTAATGTCATTTGGCAATCTACATTTGCCACTCTCAAGCCAGGTGTCAAATGGATACCCGGTAGGATGCAAATATATATTTATATCTTAATGTAATGCGCTTAGAAACATAGTATTACACGATATGAAAATGTGATTTGTAGGTGCTCTGTCGCAGAGCACCTAATGATTTCGTTCGATTCAATCCTTTTCCCCTCTTTCTTTTTTGTGTATGAATTTTGTTCACTTCATATCTCATGATGACATGGCTAAAGACTGAGTCCACTCCAAAAAAAAATGCTTTTAAAAGATGCTGTAAAACAAGAGAACAGAGCAAAAAAAAAAAACTAATAATGAAATTATGAAGACTATGGAACTTAGAAAATGACGACACAGATTCATGAGTGAGTTACCAATATGCCTTGTGATTTTCAAAGTTGTTCGTGTCATTAAAAAAACATAACTTTCTTATCAGTTATCTCTTTTTGCAAAAAACTTGTATTGATTGTTTTTTGTCATTTTATGCTTCGAATTGAAAGTAATCTATTTCTGGAGTGGACTTGTCCTTTCTTCCCAGCCCCTCTATTTTGCGTGTCAAAAATACACCCTTTACTCGGGCGGTCGGGCTCCGCTCTGTTGCTCCTAAGCAATTATTGTAACTGTGACCAAGATGGGTCTTATTGTATTTTTATTTGTGTTATATTTTGAAGTTACCCGCACACTTGCACTTCGTACACACACAAACGCACCAGCATCACACATGCAGTTGTTCATCCTCCAAATTTTCGGTACTTTACATAATACGTATCGTTAAATGAATTCGCACGCGCACACTCCCGATATTCTTGTCGACGATATAAACGAGAGCAAATACTACACACCCCAAGAATTCAAAAATTCATTTTCTTACAAACCAGACAATATTTCACTTTTACATATAAACTCCAGAAGTCTGAACAAAAATTTCGAATACGTTGAAAACCTTTTACACTCTTTAAATAATTTTGCATTTTCCGTCATTGGAATAAGTGAGACTTGGTTACATCAGAATTCTCCAGATATGTTCAATTTGCCTAATTATAAGTTGATTAGGGCGGACCGCAAAGGAAGAAGAGGTGGCGGTGTTGCGTTTTTTATTACACAAAACATAAACTTCAAAATCCGTTCAGATATTAAACTAACACAAGCTGAATCTTTATTTATCGAAATTAATAACTCAAATGCCAAAAACGTCATCATAGGTTTGATTTATAGACCCCCTGGTTCTAATTGTGACTTATTCTGTGACGAACTGGATTTTTATCTTCATAAAATAGGGGATGAAAATAAACACAATTTTATCCTTGGTGACTTTAATATCAACTTCTCACCCTCATCTGATAACAGTAACTCAACCAATTGTATGCAGTTGATGCATTCATACGGCTTTTTTTCGATTATTAATAAACCCACCAGAATAAATCCACATTCATCAACTCAGATTGACAATATTTTTTCAAACGTACATAACAACAAAACCATCGGTGGAATATTGTGTTCTGAAGTGTCGGATCACCTACCCATATTTTTAACTTGTGAATGCAAACTATCTGGCCGTAAATCATTTGATGAGCTTATATATCGCAAAGAATCCAAACGTAATATAGAATTGCTGAAACAGGATTTATTTTTCGAGGGATGGGCTGAGGTATATAGTGTAAATGATGTCAATACTGCATATAAACATTTTAGTAACAAATTGCAATATTATTATGAAAAGAATATTCCTTTAGGCAAAATGAGTAATAAGCGAAATAAACCCAGGAATCCTTGGATAACTAAAGGTTTATTGAAATCAATACAAACACGCAATCGCCTCTACAAATTACATTTACACAATCCAACTGACACTAACCTAAACACATATAAAATTTATCGAAACAAATTAACAAAACTTATCCGTACATCCCGTAGATTGCATTTTTCTAATAAAATAAAAAAGGCCAGTTCAAACACAACTGCAACTTGGAAAATTATCAAAGAGGTAATGGGAAAAAAAACGAATCCCCCACCCACGGATAATATCACATTAAATGGCACTAAAATACATGATCCTAGTCTTCATGCAAATTCATTTAATTCATTTTTTACGAATATCGGCCCAGAACTCGCCAGCAAAATTAATAGAACTCACGCACACTTTAAAGACTATCTTTCCAATCAAAACCAAGAGTCCCTCTTTTTAAATCCGACAAATCCTAGCGAAATTATTAACATTACCCAATCTCTTAACAACTCAAAATCGCACGGTTTTGATAAAATAAGTATGTCTCTCCTAAAAGAAATAATGTATCCACTTGCAAAGCCTTTAACTCACATATTTAATCACTCGTTATCGCAAGGTGTTTTCCCTGATTTATTAAAACTAGCTAAAGTCAACCCCATTCTCAAAAAAGATGATCCTCACGAAATTAGTAACTATCGTCCAATTTCCCTACTCCCAAGTATATCTAAAGTCTTAGAAAAGATCGTTCATAATAGGCTACACAAATTTATCACTAAACACAAAATACTCAATTCAAATCAATATGGCTTCAGAAAAAATTACTCAACTGACTTAGCATTAATTCAAATTTATGACAAAATTACAAGTGCCATAGCTAACAAAGAGCATGTTATAGGTATATTCTGTGACTTGAGTAAAGCATTTGATACGCTCAATCACGCTATTCTACTCTCCAAACTCAGTCATTACGGAATTCGGGGTCAGCCACTCTTATGGTTTAAAGATTATTTAACAAACAGAAGACAATATGTTACATTTAATAGTTATGATTCTGATCCTCTTTTAATTCAATGCGGTGTTCCTCAAGGCTCCATCTTAGGTCCACTGTTATTTCTTCTTTATGTAAATGATATTATCAATACATCCCCCCTTCTTTCTTTTATCTTATTTGCCGATGATACAAATATCTTTTATTCCCATAAAGACCTTAATTCGTTAAACAATACTTTGAATTATGAAATTAACAAAGTATCAGATTGGTTTAAATCCAATAAACTTTCACTTAATACAAAAAAGACTCATTTCATGTATTTTAAACATCATTCTCATAATACAGAAACACCTATATATATTAAAATCGATGGTATGCTACTAGAGAAGAAAACTAATTCCAAGTTTTTGGGTGTTCTTATAGATGAAACCTTGACTTGGAATGATCATTTACACCAAGTTACAATGTGCATTTCCAAAAGTATTGGAATAATCTCCAAGTTAAAGTTTCTTCTACCCCATGCAACCTTATTCCTACTATATAATTCGCTAGTTCTCCCGTATATAACATATTGTAATAGTGTATGGGCAAATTGTGGTTCGACAAAAATCAATTCTATTTTCAAACTGCAAAAGAAAGCCATACGTATTTGTACAGGTTCGCATTTCTTAGCTCACACTGATCCTTTATTCTATAAACTTAAAACACTAAAAATTTTCGATCTGAACACTACTCAAGTAGCAGTTATTATGTTTAAGTACATTAATAATCTGCTTCCACCATCCTTTGATAACATGTTTAGGTTTAATAATTCCGTTCATTCATACTCTACTCGCATATCTGGAAACTTCCATCTTACAAACCCCAAATTATCAATAACACACAAATCTGTTAGACATTCTGGCCCGGACATTTGGAATGATTTACCCGACAACATAAAGTCTTGTTCAACCATCTACTCCTTAAAAGCTACACTTAAACGACAAATAATACAATCATATGCTCCCCCTCTCTAAATTAGTATAACAAAACCGTGACTTATTTATTCTTTATCATGCAACTGCTCACTGCACCTGCACTTGCACCGCACCCTCTTGGTCACTCAGTTTTTCGAAGAGAGTTATGTCGCCAATTCTTTTTACGAGGCCGCCATCCATCTCCAGCCTAACCGCTCACGATGGCGGTCTCCTGCGTTCCAAATTACCTCTCTAATTTATTGAAAATATTTCATATTATGTTATTGTATGCTTCGTACATGTTTATCGAATGATATAATTGAACATGATTTTTCATTTAATTACTTTTGTAAACATTGTATTCATTGTATTTGTTATTGTTCGAAATTTTGTACTTTGAATTTGAATTTGTATATTTTTGAACGCAGAAATAAAATCAATCAAACAAAAAACAAACAAAAGGTACTATGCCCCATTTACAGGCCAACAAATGAAAAGTTTAAATTCCAACGGCATTTGAAAAATAATACTTATTTAGAACTTCCCTAAAAAAAGAGGGACTAGAAAATGTCTTTAAGTGGGAAAATAACGAATATTAGTTGTCAAATCGACTTAAGAGCTATAAAACCAGTTAGTAATATTCTGATTCCAATGCACCGAATAGTCGTACATTTTATGCTGCGCAAAGATTCAATCAGTTTAATTTTGGCCATTACAGGAAGTCAGTTATGTATGTTATTACCAAAGAAGAAAAAAGCCAGTCAGTCACTCCATGGTGTCTGCCAGTGAAAACTAGCAAGTACACGGGTTTCTTTGCATTATTTGAATATTAAGTCACTGCTAACGTTTAAATTTCACAAATAGGACATACATGACATATTCATAATTCGACTTCATGGATTGCTAATTGTAACGAAATCGAAGTAAAGTCTGTAGTCAATTATGTTTGTTGCTACGGCAGGCAGCCAGTGAAAACGAGTTCGTTTGATAAAAATATGGAACTGCAAGCGTTACATTAAACAAACACAACTGAGTTATGCTCATTTTTCCTGATTGAGGTGTCATTATGAAAGGGCAGAAAATGAACTTGCTACAAAAATGATTTTTTTTCTTTGAAATTTAGATACTATCCTCCAAATACTTTTTTTTACCCTTTCTTCAAATTAATTTTAATCACTCATGTGTGAAATATGCACCATGTGAGTTCCATCACATGAAAGAAGGGGATCTAATCTTTTCAAATACGTGTCATTTATTAATATTAATTGTGATTAAGTGATATATATATATATATATATACACATATATATATACACTGTCGCTCATATAGCTGGAATATTTTTGTGTTACCCCAATTTATGGAATTATTTTAAAAATAATTAAAAAATAATAGATCTAGATAATAGTATACATTCTCAGATTTTATTGAATAATAATTTGACAATGTGTGTTTTGCGTGACTGCTAAAGCATGTATATGCTACTATGCTTATCAACTAGGGGACCTATGCCCTTAAGTCATACATGACAGTAATGAGGATTAATGCCCCACAAAAGGGCACTAATATAGCACATCGACACAGTTACGAGGCCATTGATTTGTCACTGAAACATGACTGTACGCAGCGGGGGCTAGGGTAGGGGGCAGTTTCCATAAATGAAGAAAAAAAATGCAATAAATTTTCAATAATTTATTGCATTTTACCCCGGTCCCCAACATAAAAAAATCCTCTGTGTGCCCATGCCTTGAGCCATAATGCATGGCCGTTTATAATAACGTATATTAGAATCGTTGTCATTTTTTATTAACATAAACCAGGAACATGAGGCTCTTTAAGATGTTTTCTTTTTAGTAATATCTTTATTATTTCTTCAAAACCCAGATTGCGGGAAGAACATGTAGTGTTGTTCATTTATAATTTGTTATTCAAATAATTATAGTGAGGGGAGGCCAGACTCTGCCTCTGGAGAGCAGGGTTCGCGGATCTACTAACGCTGCGGATCTAATAGCCTTCGGTAAGTGTTAATGTACAATTGGTACCTTCCACCCAGGTGTTGTAAACGGCACTCTGATTGGAATTCATTCCCTGAATGCTTTGAGTGTATTCAGGCAGCTGATCTAAAGCTAGGGTTAGGGTACTGCTTTGTATACGTCTATATAGCATCCCATTGGATGGATATGTGCGCAATACAAATGTATCTATTACAATACTTATTAAAGATATAACAATCGACTTTTCTCTTACATCTCCTGACACTTGAAATGTGCGAAAACTACAATAATCAATGACGTAATACGAGCATAATATGTATAAGACCCATATAATAATTCTGAAGAACCTAAAGCTACGGTCACAAAGGTTCGTACGGACGATTATTTCGTACGGATCTCCCTGTTTTTCAATTGTCTTCCCGAATTTCCATTGTCTGAAAATCGTTCGTACGGCGTTCGTAGCAGTTCGTAATGGCATTTAGTTTTCTTTATTATGTGTGTGTGTGTCTTAATAGGCTTAAGAAACACAGGGTTCGTTTAGATATCCTTATGTAATACAACTACCATTTCTTCAAAGCCCGAACCACAGGAGGATGCTGCATTGTCCAGCTGATGAAAATAAGGATTTGTTTAAGGTATTGTTTGTTCTTTCTTTCTTCGTTTTAATGAAGTTGATGATACCAACAACCCTACACCAATGGATTACTCCGATACAGGTATTATTCATTTATAATTGTGTTATTTCAAAAATCAACCTTATGTCGTGGTTTAGTGAATACGACACCCGACTATGGTTTGCATGGTTCGCGGTGCTGGTGCCGCCGCTGTAGTAATGACCTTTTGCACGACATTAATTTAAATTTGGTACCCTCCACCCAGGTGCTGCAAATTGGCACTCTGGTGGGAATTCATTCTAAAGCCAGTGTAATTGTGCTGCATTATTGTACAGCGCTTAGAGACTTCTGATAGAGTAAGTGTTAGGGGCTATATAAGCAAATATAAATTATAGAGATATCGATCCTGCCATGACCCTAAGGCGCGCCTGGAAATTTATGAAAATTCGACTTTTCGCATAATTTTAAAAAACAGTGATATGCATGACATAGACTGTATGCAAATTAGCGAGTTGATGTCATCCCCTCACTTTGCTATCTCTGTGTTGTACCTATAACTATCAACAATATCGCATTTCTACTTTGGGAATTTAAAACATGGCTCGAATCCTCGGGAATTTTTGGCAAAAATACAATTACGGTTCAAAAATAAAAAGTGCATACAAAAAAACATAAAACCCGACGTACGTAAACATAGTCGGAAATGGGTGCCCTATTCAATGGGGAGCACATACGAGGGCGTCACATGCTTTCTCACGAGCCGTTTTGGGGAATATTAGAGTGTATATGAACTGTCAAGATCTGACAAGATCTCTTTACAAAAGAAAAAGGTTGAAGCTCACAAATCATTTAAATCTTTGGACTTGAAACTCCAATCAAACAGACCAAAATATTTCATGGTGATGGCTACACTTTTAATTTCAATATCCAGGAAGAGACGAGGCAAGCAAGACGATTTACCCTTCAAGAGGAGGCACCATCCAACTACCGCACCATGGAATCAGCCTCTGCATACCCGCATTGGCGCTGCAAAGGAAGTGTAAGATTACTCTAAAGGTAATGTTTAAGATACTCCCTTTCTCCCCTCTCTCTCTCTCTCTCTGTCTACCTGTCTCTTTTATCTAGGCTCTACATAAGGATTGTAGAATTACCCGAAATGTATGGCGTAGCCTTGCTGTACGCTCTTATGGCATGACTGGGAGATGGTCCACCCCCTCCCCCTCTCCTTCCCCCTCTTCATACTTATCTGGGCTCTACAAGATGATTTTAGAATTAACCTAAAGGTGAGGAGTAGCCTGGATCGACATATGGGGGGGGGGGGTGGGTGGAGGTGACACCCCTTTGATTATCTCTTTCTTTCTCTTTGCTTTTATCACTTGGATATGAGGGGGGGGGAGCAAATTTAGAATTTAATTCCCTTACGAAATATTTTACTCTTTACTCAACCCGGAAACTGCAGTACTTATTTTCTGGAATTCTTGCTTGGGGTAATTCAAATACCACATATATCAATAGAATACTTCTTTTACAGAAAAGTGTACTCAGAGTGATAAATAATGTTATAACAATTGGTCACATATTAACCCTTCCTTTTTGAAAGATGAATTTTAAAATGTAAAGATTTATACCTTAAAAATCTTGGCATATTCTGTTTCAGTTATCCCGCCGATAACTTCCATCAGTCATAACTGTACACTTTACAACAAATGACGCTATAAACACATAACAAAAAACAAACTATCATCTTCCTCTAACCAGGACAGTTTACACCCTAATATCAAACAGCTTAAAAACTGTGGCAGCTTTAAAAAAACATATTCAATTGCTATTATTGAATGTGTATGTGTGATGCACTACTATTCCATTTTTCCCCGATTGTGACTCCCGACCTTAAACATTCCATTCTAAAATAATCCCACTTCTCTCCTCTCATTCTTCTTCTGACTCCCATTCTCGACCTTCTCTTCCTATTTCTCTTTATTTATTACACCCACTATTCATACTATTTCATTGTTTTGGCCTTTGCTATAGTTGATACTTGTTTTTCTTTTCTTTTTCTTTAATTATTATACTACCTGATTATGAATGACATTTCGTCAAAATTCACTCTGTTAAACTCAAGTCACGACCGGGATCACTCGAGCAATACTCGGCACTACTCGTGGTTTGCTCGCCGTTAATCGTGCTGTGCTCTGTTTTATTCGACTAGAGTCGCTGCAAACTCGAAAATTTGCCATTCACACCCCCCCCCCCCCCCCCCCTGAGTTGCCGCAAGTTTGAGCTCGAGGAAACTCGGAGCAACTAATACTTCCAATTCGCCTATGTGTGAACGTAGCATTAGTTATGTCTGTTTTCATTCATATTTTTCGATTTGGGAGTACTAATCATCTTTTTTGCGTTGTTTATGGTTTACTTAATTTAGTCACTTCGTATATTGATTAGCCTTCTAAGAACAATTTAAGATTCGATAAAATACCGAAGATACCTAATCTCATGCACCCGATTTATTGCCGTTTTTGTCAGGTTCTCCCAAAGCCGTCAGGTGTCCTTTTCGCTGAGGACGAAGCTATTGTCTCGCCTGGTGTAGTGTGTGAACCTTCGGGGACAACGTTTGCGTTGCCATTAAAGTTGGTAATCCCTCACTGTGCAGTGTTAACAGACCCCTCCAAGGCCAAAGTCACCATGTACGTTACTCATGGCGATAAGAATGGTGGGTGTAAAACTTCAACTCTAATATGTGAAAAACAATTTTAAAAAGGCATTGTGTGGAAACTTGCGAAGACAATGTAAACATTTGGAGCAGAGGGAAGGGGACGAATTGTAATACTTTGAAGAGAGAGAGAGAGAGAGAGAGAGAGGGGATGGGGAGGTTAGAAGCAATGGAAACACTCTCTGGAGACACACCGTTTGGAAACAGATATGATACACTAATAAGCCATAGTGAAGAGAGAGCAATCAAAGTTGGGAAACAATAAGAAAACAGAATGGAGACACTTGAAAACTGTTAGAGACAATGATGATACAGTGCGTATACAGTCAATAAAAACACATTGTGGACACAATCAGAACATTATTATTCAGACAATGGTAACACACTGGCATTGCTTGTGCTACACAGTGGGCCCGGATTTTCAAACGTAGCGGGGAAACACTGCAACTTGGTCTCTTTTATCATTGTTATTTTTTAAAGTATTGATTTGAATGATGATTTAATGATGATGGGTGATTAGTTTTTCTTCACGTCCCTCTTCTCTAATGTGTATCTTTCTTTCTCCGTGTTCATCTTCCGCACCCTTTGCAGTAACAAAGGAAGAACTGTCATTAACTGGAACACCTAGGTGCGTAGTAAGAAAAGATGACCTTGAAGTCTACATCAACCATTTCTCAATTTGTGAAATGTTCATGGTCATTTCTGACTACCTTATTGGAAAACGTGTCGCTTCTACACCTTTCCTTCCAAAATCAATGAGTCGCCTTCAACCGCAACACTGCCATCTACGTCTGTATAATGATACTCCTGGTCTTGAAGATGTGAGTAATGTGGCAACATTTATCATAGTGTAAACAATATAAACAATTTTTTGGTCCCGATTCATATATCTCAAAACCGAGACTCATTAAAGCGTACATCGAAAAGTATCCAACAAAAGCCCTATTAAATTCAACCAATCCACCTTTCATTCTTGAATTACGAACTTCACAAAAACATCAAATTTACGAGTGATATATATTATGTTTATGTATTTTTTTCTCGACATAGAGTAAAACTATTTCAAAAGGAAATGCAGGACAAGTTGTTGTAATTGATGGTGAAAGGGCAAAAATACTTAACGCTTCTTCTTTGACCTTTTTCCCCATATTTTTCCTGTTCCTCTCTTCCACTCTCTCTCTCTCTCTCTCTCTCTCTTTTTCCTTCCCTTTCACCCTTTCCCCTTTCTCTCTTTCGTTCTCTCTGCTCTTTGCCATCCAGTATGATGTACGTTTAGTTTATGTGTGCTACCAGAAATAATCTGAAATTGTTAACAATTGATGAATAATTGATTTTAGATCTTGGCTATATGACTTGTTCTATTTATATGACATTGATTGTTGTCATGTACATTTTCTGCAATTTATTTAAGTTAGGATTGTCTGTTGGGGGCCAGGGGAGTACAAATAATAAAAATAATTTCCCTGGCTCTCAACGGAGAGGTTAAATTATATTACATTGTTATGTTATTTATGTTATTTGTATTATTTCTTGTCTATGATATGACAATGTATTGTTATATTTTATACAAATGTGAGCCGTAAGACGATTTTTATGCCTTCATATTATTTTGTGCATGGCAATAATGAAATCAATTCATTTCGATTCAATTCAATTTCTTTGCTGTACAATATCAATATAATTAGCTCATCGAAACAGAGGAAGAAAAACTTGATTATCGCAAGATGGCTCCGACAAAGAAAATGTTCGTGCTCTGGGAGAAAGGCGAACTGAAGATTAGATGCGAGGTCGACAGCGGTCATGTCACTGAGAACGAAAAGGTACATAAACATCCAATACATTCGTTAATTTCAGAACGCATGGTTTAAAATGCCGGGCGATCGTGTTATATCTTAAGAGTATGGGAGGGGATGGAGGTGGTAAACGTAGCGACGAAATAGCCTATCATCACTAAAAACTTCAGATTCTCAATCCTTACTCTTTGGTATTATTAAATGTTCGCACTATATGTTCTTCACTTGTTTACCCTAATACTAATGTCATACCAATACAATACGAATAAGTAATTTCATACGAAAATATGATTTCATACGAACAAAGCTTGTCTTTATCGTGGCCAAAACAAGAGATTGGGTAACTGACGTTATTGTTATTTATTATGTTTGTGGTTCAATTTAACGTAATGTGATCAGTTTATTAATTTGGTGAGTTACAATTACAAAAGTAATCCGAAGGTGGTTTTTATTTGCAATGTAATTAGGCTATTGAAATCACTCTGGTTGTTTTTTGAAAGTCTTTCCTATGTTTGTTTTCTTTATTATGTGTGTGTGTCTCCATCTCACAAATGAAGACCGTATCGCTAGATGATATCTATAGATTGGATCGAAACATTGTCAGTTTCTTAGTGAAAGCGACCGGCGATGCCGATGTATATTTCAAGTTTAACTTTCATCCTCATTGTGACGAGGGACATGCCTTCAAAGCGAATTTTTCTGGTTCGTATCTGGGTATCCTTGCATAAAAAATACCATTGATAGTAATTTCCATGGAAACATACATTTCATTAGCTCTTGAGTGATGTTGCCGTGGAAGTTAATAGCAAAGTTACCATCAACGGCAGGCTTTATGCAATGGGTCCATTTTGTGTGTGTGCATTGGTGCGTGATTTGGTGCTTGCGTGTGTGCGTCTGTTCGTATACGGGATAGATTTGGTCTTTTCTTTCTTCCTGTCTTTTTGCGTGTTCTTTCTTCATTTCATTTGTTGTAATCTGAATATTATTTTCCCATGTTGACAATTTTTTAATTAGCATTTATTATTTAAAGACCTATGTAGTTCTCACCCTCCCCCTAGCACCCACACACTCACATGCTGTTTCTCTTTTTCTCTCATGTTACTTAACTACACTGTAGTAAAGTCCTTTGTATTTGTTCTATATTTACCTCTGCATTGTCTTCCCTGTCTATCTGACTCCACTGGCCACTCTTTCAACATATTAAATAATAAACAAAGAATGATAAACAGTCACTTTGGCTTGTCCAATATTCATATAAGAATATTATAGCATCGTAAAAATTGAAGTATCCTCTAATAGTAGCGACCCGTAGGGTATATGATTTTGAGGAAATAAGGTAATTGTGCTTTGATGGGCTCATAAATATGTTTCATTTATAACGTTTAAAATCAATGTTTCCTTTTGTAGCCAAGTTTGCGGTGGTCTAAATTTAGTACGTTAAGTCTGTTCTTGAAAAGCCTACGTTATCGTATTTAGCAATTCATTTGTTAATTTATCTTTCTATTTCCTTTTCTGTCTCAATGCAGACGGTGACATAGCTACCAATGCGTAAGTACTTATAGAGACACTGATAAATAACAAAGTAAACAATATTACTTTTAATTGAAAAACTAAAATCTCCAAAATCATGCACATCAGCCCTTGTCAGAGTATGCGTAGGTGCCACCGATATTACTAAACCATTAATGTGTATTGGTCGAGAGAGGTAAATGTGCCCAACATTTCCCTGTCCTAAGATGATAAAAGCAGGCACCTCTCGTATTACAGTGGAAATCCTGCAACAAGATACCAAAGTGCTAATAACCAATGTTTCCTAGCCGAAAGCAATATCAGAAGGAGAATTTTGATTTCATTGCAATTTGTTCCAAGGTTAAGAACAGGACCAAGGTATCGAAGGACCGAGATAGGCTTATTCAAACAGTTTTTTGTGATAAGATATTTCGATGAACAATCAAAAATATTGTTAAGGACGTTTATAAATGAAAATAATTATTTAACTGCAGTTTGAAAAATTCACTGCCAGCTATGCTTGGATGTTCCTAATAGTCACCAAATGCACAGTATGAAGACCCCTTTTGTTTTTGCGCAGTAAAAGTCTTTATGATAGTTTTACCCTTCTGAGACGATATAAAACTAACAGATATTTAGTTATTTATTTATTATGTTTAGCGAGAAGATGGAATGAGAAGGGTAAGCGAGTTGTAATTTACTATCGAATAGAATCCACCATGCTCGCGTAATCTTAATATACCCCTCATATTATGTTGTTTCCCACAAGGCTACCAGCTATCCCAATACGGTTGGACGACAAACTTCTCTACGATATCGCCGAAGAGATCGAGACTGATGAACACCTCGACAGGTTAATGCAAACTCTGGAGGTCACACAGGGATCGCAGTCACGGTATCACGAGCTCAACCGGTTGGAAGGTCACCTTACAGCTAGAGGAACCCGTCAGATGCTGATGGATTGGAGGGCCAGAACAGCAGTCATAGAGCAACGAGACAGGCTGAAGGAAGCCCTCAACACGGCTGGGCTGTTGGACCTTAGGGACAGATTTTTGCCTGGCTAGAAAGAATTAGAAGAGAAGGTCGAAGAAGGAGAATGAGATTAATTGAAAAAAGTTGTTATATAACATGGCTTAAGTTTGTCAGACCACCAACGGAGCACGACATATATATGTTTTAAATTAGGTGGTTTATGCGTCGTACTGTCAGTACTCGAAGTCCAATAACCCTAAAGAAATTATTTTGTTCACTCTGTCGCCCAATTCTTGACTATTGTGTTCCTGATTGGTCACCTTCTCAAAGGAACTACATTAAATCATTATAAGCAGTGTGTATTCTTTTCTTTAGAAAGTGCAGAGTGTCTGTCAGTTTATATGCGACTAGATCTTTCGAATTTGCCTCCTACATAAATGTATGCACAGGATGTTAGTTTTTTTCATCTGTTTTGCAATAAAATATGCATTACTTACTATATCATTCCTATTCTAAATGGACGGAGATCAGATGTTCTTGTTTTTAATCACGAAATTGCCAGGAAAAAAATGTTAGCAATACTCTTGTGAATTGAGGAAATACATCCTGATAACAAGCAAAACGAGATAAGTAAATTAGTGGGGGTTTGAGCAATATTCGAGTAAACGTAGGAATGTTATGATTTGTTTCAGCTGTCATCAGTGAGGCACACATTGGCCTCGACTTATCTTGCGAGGTTCTCTTCAATATGCTCTGCAGCTAAAATGTATAAGCGTTCATTTTCTTAGTTATTTATGAGGGAATACATCTTCTTTAACAAGGGTTGCATAGAAGCAATAATTAAATTTCATTTCAATTCAATTCATATTAATTTCATTTCCAACGGAAAGGTTAACAAAGAGATTCTTTTGTCCATACATAATTCAATTTTTTTTCTAGTAACTATACAAATACACTTTGCACATAATAAAGTTATTACAAGAAATTTTTAATTTCTGAGGAAATGGGAGGGGGGGGGGTCCATTAAAAAGCAGTGCTTGTAGTTTGTGGATTTCCCGGAAAAATTACATTTAGAGCGCATGTATGATTGAATTTCTGTGTTTTTAAAACTACAGAGCGAATAGGAGAGTATCTCACAAAATACGTCACAGAGTTGGCAATTTGTGATTGATTGATCTAGACTTTTGAAATTCATAACTTTCTTAGTTTTAATTCGGATTCTGCTCAAATTTCTAACTGACATTTTCCTGTTATTTGTCTCTGCTTCAATGAAAAGGAACTAAAATATAAGGGTGCACTTCTTCTTTATATGCCTTCAAAGTTGCTCTAAAAACCCATCTCTTTCTAAACAGTGCTATTTAATCATGTCAATGTAGCGTAATAATTTGTGTTGTTTTAGTTCACTTTATTTTAGTTAAGAATGTTATATTTTTGTGATAGTAATACATGTATGTACAGCGCCATGAGCGTCAGAGCCTGGCGGATACCGGCGCTATATAAATATCCATATTATTATTATTATTATATACATTTCTTTGTTTCTGGGACACTCACCTATTCATTAGCTGACTTTTATATCGATACTTCTGTCAGGCCATCCGTGAATCCCTTACACTGCCATCTTGACGATATGCCTCCTATAGTACGATCTTATTTGAGCAATCTGCCCTTTTTTATCACTGCCATATTCTTTATCATTAATCTGATCAATTTACGTATGTTTATGTATATACACACACATATATCTATTAATTTTGTTTTTGGTGAAGGAGTAGATTTTGTTACAGTTACAGCAACCAATAAGGAGAGCCCTTAGTCATGAATTAATATTTATTTGGGGTTACCCCCAGGAGTTGGTTGTTGTTTTTGTTCTTATTTGTAACGTTATTATTATCATCATTTTGGGGTATGCTTTCTTTTTCTATATATGTTATCGTTTGTAGTTGTTATGTCAATTTGGAAGACATTTGGCATTCAGGACCTCAAAGAAGAAGATGAAGGAGAGGTAAAACAGTAAGGTGATGTAAGCAAGGACTGCAACCAGCTATTCACATTCCCTGCTGACTTTGCAGTCAAATAATTCAGCCGGGGTGCCCGCTGAAGTGAGCGGTGGTGGAGACAAATCTTGTTTGCTTATTTTGGATCTCCCTGAGGCAAGCAAGATTATATTTGAAAGTGGACACAAGAGCAAATGCGCACCCTCTACCTCTAAGTCGTCCACTATCGGATTATAAGGCCGCCACCCTGGTCACTTTTACACAGATAGTGAGGATAATACTTTAAATTCATAATACTGCATTATTTAAATATTCTGTTCGTTATTTTATGTTTATATGTACATTTATACGTAATTCACATTTTGAAATGAGGTTTTTATTGTATGCATATTGCTATTATGCCTTCTGTTTACATGTTCTTTAATATTTTCAGCTATTTTAGTTAGAAATGTGTAGAAATAAAATGAAATTGAATGGGATAACATTACCAAGGCCTAAATATTTTGTTCATTCTACTACAGAAAGGAATGTGTTGTGTAATAAAGCATTTTCTCGTAAAATAAAATTATATATTTTCACGTTATTTAACTGTGCAATCTTTAACTTTCTTTTTATTTTTAGTAAAACTAATATACATGAAACGACAGCATTTGATTTTAAACTGTTGTAAAATTCAAAAGCTTTAGAAACTAAGACATCTGACAAAGAAACACAAACAAAAACAAAAATTCGAAAAGACGGGAAAGGCGGGAAAGACGAGGCCAACATTTTGCGAATATCCTTTCAATAAACCATTTTCGTGATGCGCGGCGTCACCCAAGAGACATGTGACGGTCAAGAGTGTCCGAGTGGTGATCTGTGTCTATAGACTCAGATCGCAGAAAATTGGCTGGCGAGATACGTCTGGCTGCGGCGATATGTGTCTAGGGTCAGACGCATGTCGCCGCGTAAGTCACATTGGAGACTCTCGTAAAATAGTTGTGTCTAATTTGTCTTCTCTTTATCACCCATGCTACAGCAACTTACAGGTACATGGGTGCCATTGACAAAAGTGAGAGGAGGGTACTGTTGAAAAAATTGTTTCAAATCTGCATTCCAACTAATCGCACATCAATTAAAATCCAAAATATCAAGCAACATATAATGGGTAATAAAGTGTACATGTACAACCTAGATAAATACAGAGTCTGGTTATCATGCATTTTATAGAATCATAGGGACTTTTAAATTTGGAGCAAAATACTATAGAAAATAAATTAGTTACACAAATATTAAAACTTG